CACTAGGCCAACCCACACACCAATTACCACTAGGCCAACCCACACACCAATTACCACTGTTGGACCATGCCAAAAATCAGTAGGGTTTTTCACATTCACTAGTTTAACCCTTACACCAGATTTGTACTTTGTATAGTCGTTTGTTCTGAAATTGTCATCTGGACAAGAGCAACCAAGCAGAATTCTATTTTTAGCAATGGTGACATTGACACCTGGCTTATCATGCCCTAAAGCATAAGGATTCCTTGCATCCACTTAGACATTCTGATTCCATGTAAATTGTGTATCTAATTAATAAAATTCTTAAACGCACCATCCTCGATACTCAAGAGGTTACCCTCACTTACATCTCTGCACCCCTGGAATATGTCATAGCAAAATGTCAAGGCTCAGTGTGCACCACCTTGTGGATGAAATGAGAATTCAATTTTGATCCTTTGATGTCAAAAACATCTTGCGGTTGAGTAATGGTACAGTTGACTGGCTTTGAAAATGGTTGTCACTCCTTTGTAATCTTCAAAGGAAAGGCATCAGCCTACGATTGGTCAGGTTTCTTCACTGTGACCAATCAAATATCTAACAGCATGCCTTCAATTTTGCTATGACATATTCCTGGAGTGCAGAAAGCTAAACTGAGCGTTACCCTGGAGTATTGAGGATGCAAACTCATTTGGTTGAACAGAAGCTAACTACATTAAATGGGTCTAGTGTTTTCCTCACCAGCGATCAGCGACTGCGACCTCACTCTTGCCGCCAGCCTTGAGGTAGCCTAGCGCCAGACAGGCACTTTCTCTCACAAGTCTGTCATCATCGTCCAACTTACATATTATCTTGTCCACCGTCATCTTCTTGGATTTTGCTGAATATCATAAAAACATTGTAAATTCATTCATGTTGAAGTTACTGAACATTCAGAAATAAAAGAATTAGTAGAACTTCATCAAACAATACTTACCATATTTATCCAGCAATAAGCCCATGTCTGTAAATAAGCCCACCCATATCTATTGCAGTTCAGTACAAATGCCAACAAGTACTGTTTCATTGTCCTGTTGTAAACCCTTTCTTAGAGTGAGAGCTGTGTTGTAAACCTTTATTTGGAGTGAGAGCTAAGTTGTAAACCCTTCCTTAGAGTGAGAGCTGTGATGTAAACCCTTCCTTAGAGTCAGAGCTGTGTTGTAAACCTTTATTTGGAGTGAGAGCTGTGTTGTAAACCCTTATTTGGATTGAGAGCTGTAATGTAAACCCTTATTTGGAGTGAGAGCTGTGTTGTAAACCTTTATTTGGAGTGAGAGCTGTGTTGTAAACCCTTATTTGGAGTGAGAGCTGTGTTGTAAACCCTTATTTGGAGTGAGAGCTGTGTTGTAAACCTTTATTTGGTGTGAGAGCTGTGTTGTAAACCCTTATTTGGAGTGAGAGCTGTGCTGTAAACCCTTATTTGGAGTGAGAGCTGTGTTGTAAATCCTTATTTGGAGTGAGAGCTGTGCTGTAAACCTTTATTTGGAGTGAGAGCTGTGATGTAAACCTTTATTTGGAGTGAGAGCTGTGTTGTAAACCTTTGTTTGGAGTGAGAGCTGTGTTGTAAACCTTTATTTGGAGTGAGAGCTGTGTTGTAAACCTTTATTTGGAGTGAGAGCTGTGTTGTAAACCTTTATTTGGAGTGAGAGCTGTGTTGTAAACCTTTATTTGGAGTGAGAGCTGTGTTGTAAACCTTTATTTGGAGTGAGAGCTGTGTTGTAAACCTTTATTTGGAGTGAGAGCTGTGTTGTAAACCTTTATTTGGAGTGAGAGCTGTGTTGTAAACCTTTATTTGGAGTGAGAGCTGTGTTGTAAACCTTTATTTGGAGTGAGAGCTGTGTTGTAAACCTTTATTTGGAGTGAGAGCTGTGTTGTAAACCTTTATTTGGAGTGAGAGCTGTGTTGTAAACCTTTATTTGGAGTGAGAGCTGTGTTGTAAACCTTTATTTGGAGTGAGAGCTGTGTTGTAAACCTTTATTTGGAGTGAGAGCTGTGTTGTAAACCTTTATTTGGAGTGAGAGCTGTGTTGTAAACCTTTATTTGGAGTGAGAGCTGTGTTGTAAACCTTTATTTGGAGTGAGAGCTGTGTTGTAAACCTTTATTTGGAGTGAGAGCTGTGTTGTAAACCTTTATTTGGAGTGAGAGCTGTGTTGTAAACCCTTATTTGGAGTGAGAGCTGTGTTGTAAACCTTTATTTGGAGTGAGAGCTGTGTTGTAAACCTTTATTTGGAGTGAGAGCTGTGTTGTAAACCTTTATTTGGAGTGAGAGCTGTGTTGTAAACCTTTATTTGGAGTGAGAGCTGTGTTGTAAACCTTTATTTGGAGTGAGAGCTGTGTTGTAAACCTTTATTTGGAGTGAGAGCTGTGTTGTAAACCTTTATTTGGAGTGAGAGCTGTGTTGTAAACCTTTATTTGGAGTGAGAGCTGTGTTGTAAACCCTTATTTGGAGTGAGAGCTGTGTTGTAAACCCTTATTTGGAGTGAGAGCTGTGTTGTAAACCCTTATTTGGAGTGAGAGCTGTGTTGTAAACCCTTATTTGGAGTGAGAGCTGTGTTGTAAACCCTTATTTGGAGTGAGAGCTGTGTTGTAAACCCTTATTTGGAGTGAGAGCTGTGTTGTAAACCCTTATTTGGAGTGAGAGCTGTGTTGTAAACCCTTATTTGGAGTGAGAGCTGTGTTGTAAACCCTTATTTGGAATGAGAACTGTGTTGTAAACCCTTATTTAGAGTATGAGTTGTGTTGTATACCCTTATTTGGAGTGAGAGCTGTGATGTAAACCTTTATTTGGAGTGAGAGCTGTGTTGTAAACCTTACTTTGGAGTCAGAGCTGTGATGTAAACCCTTATTTGGAGTCAGGGCTGTGATATGAAAACCCTTATTTCGAGTCAGAGCTGTATTAGAACCCTGGGCATATTGTAGGATAAATACTGTAGTAGTTACGAGAAAATATACTGATACCACGGTTGCAATGTATACTACATTTATTTATAGAAAATAAATTTTAAGCCTGATAAAGATATAGCATTTGTTTAGTTGTCCAACTCGGACAACACTGGTTGACCGATGGGAGTTTATAAATATTTACAGTGGTTAATTGATGTAAATGTTTCTCAAAAATTTACATAGTTCAGATAACCTAATAGTTGAAAGGAACGTGGTTAACCATGGCTAAAATGGCAAAGAGAATTCACGCCAAACAAACTATTTAGTGCAAAACTTACATATGTAATATTTCTATGCAATAGGTAAGAATTTTAAGGTAAAACAAACAGACAATGGCACCAATATCCTTTCATCTCTAGTTCCATTTCAAACAGGGTGAAGAAAAGAGAACTTTCCCGACCTGATTTGGCGAGGGCGATAGTGGCAACAGCGCGTATGTTGGGGTCTTCGTCTTGCAACATTTCTGTAAGGCCCTTCACCACCGCAGGGAATGCAAAATTTCCTGTCAAAGTCACACACATACAGTAACAATACTCAATATCGTTATATTTGAAAACCAGATACGGGAAATTATTTGATCACAATTCTCAGAAAAAGGTCCTTTAAGTTGCTAACTTAGTTTCTGTATGGTTATATATTAACTCATTCACCCCTGAAATTTCATAATGAACTATTCCAACCTTTGAATTGGAAGGGTTCAAATGTGTCTTCCGGGGTAAAAGAGTTAATGTTCTTAATATGTTTTTTTTTTTTTTTTTGATATGATTTAATATGATTTAATATACATTATGGACGCAGGCTACAAGCCTCTATATTCATATCAGTACATACTACAAAATTTACATTATAATATACTTCAAGCGTCAATTGAATAGGTTTTAAAACTAACAAGAGGCCCATGGGCCTTAACGGTCACCTGAGTCCTACANTTATATTTTCACATTCACATAGTCTTACCTAGGTTCTGTATGGTTGTAAGCCGCAATGTACTTGTCATGTTGAAAACAGCATGCATGGCGTAGTAGCCTACAGCATACTGTTGTATCCTGTTATAAAAACGGTGAGGGTCTGCGTCGGGGTTTCCCTCACAGAAGTGGTCGTATGTGGACCGTTTCACAGTCTTGTTCAAAGTAAAGATATCTTTGTACATCAAATTCAAAAAGAACTTCAGTTTATCTTCTGAATATTTCATGATAATTTTTCTTTTATAGTCATTATCAAATTTCTGACGAAACGTTGTCCAAGGAATTTCCGACTTGTCTTTGAAATTGCGATCCCAGAAGTCATATCGGAGTTGTCTGCCCCTGGCACTGCGTACCGATCGCGAGGTTGCCGCAGTAGTAGGTCGTGTGTATTCTGCCTCATCAGAGGAGGAGCTCTCCGAGTCACTGTCCTCACCTGACACGTTATCGTTGTCATTGTCATTGTCAAAATTTATGTTGATGTTCATTCCGTGGAACTGCAACCCTCCTGTTGATAAATATGGTCCATACAGAAATTTACTGAATTTTAATTTTTATTAGCAAAACTGAAGGTTTTACAGTGATAATAAATAAGTTTCCTAAAAAAAAGAGTGCCAGACTTAAGGACAGTAGTTAAAATTTGAAACAATAAAAGAATTATAAATTAAAAAAAAAAAAAAAAGTTTCCTAATGTAAAATAACACTGTACATCCCATCCCCCCTAAACCGACCAATCAGAGAGCAGGATTTGGTATGAAAAATAACAATAGGCATCGTTAATTGTGATGTCACACAAGCACTGGGGTTTAAATTCAATAGTGATGTGGCATTACACAGCATTCTTTGTCTCAATCTTTATTCGCCAGGAGATAGACTATTTTTTTGTGAAACACACATCTTTATAATGAAAAACATTGATTAGTAAACAAATCATTGTTGGTTGGTTTGCTGATGGACATCTCTGATCTGATATATTTCACTCCTGGATTGAGTATCTTTTTCACTTTGGCCAGAGACGTATATATTACTGTAAAATATATACGTCTCTGCTTTTGCTATGCAGTGGCGGAAAAATATCAAAATACAGTGTACATAATTATCTTGAAATATGACTGTTTTCATCCAACAATTGATCTATTATGTATGTATAGGAAACTTGTTAATTGGTTTTTACAGATATCTTTTCATTAAGTAAGGAATTTCTTACACCATATTCAATTATAGGGATGAGATAGCACTATAATTGGATACACATTATACCGCGGACACTAGTTACGCTGGGTATAATGTAAATCCACGCCCCTGTAACTACCTGTTTCCTCCGCTGTTGTGTCCTCTGGTTGACCTTCACTATCAATTAATGACTCTCTCATGGAGGCTAACAGAGCAGGCATATTCATCTTCCACAGATCTTCTTTGAAGAAGAATGTCCAGTTTATCTTTGCCAACATCAGCTTTCTGTTCAAATGATCATTAGAAATGTCATACACATTTACAGCATTTTTAACAGCCAATAAGAAATCGGAAATTGTGGCCAAGTCAAACTTTTGTCCTTCGTCAATGAAATCAGTTTTAGCCTTTCCTATTTCATTACTATTTATATTATGTTGTTTATTTGTTTGCTGTAATGCTAAATTTGCCCTCATTACGGAGGGCAAAAAAGGCGAAAATTCAATTGCAGTGAAAATTTCTCGTTACACAGTATGTGCCAAAAAAAAATAGAGACCCTGTATCATGTTGTCTTGTGGAAAACCCAACAAATCCTTGATTCTAAGATGAAAAGTCTTTGGATTCAGTCATGCTTGACACTAGCTTGTCTGGAGAATCACATTAGTGACTTAACGAATGTTTCTGACATGACTGTGAATCACCAGTGTAAAATAAATTGTTCATCATTTAGTACCAGCTGAGAAAATTCCTTCACAAAAATTGCTTTCCGAGGGAATGTTCTGTAATGCTGATGCTTATAGAGGAAAAGGTAAGACAGGAATGAAATTGGAAAGACAGACAAACTGAGAAAACATGTTGGTACTTAAGGCTGTAATTTAAGCATTAAGTATTTTAAAAGTATTAGAGACCACCATTAGAAAGTCCAAAAAGTGTTCTCTAAACACAGGTGATCTATTAACACAGGTGTTCTCTAAACACAGGTGGTCTCTAATCACATGTGTTATCTTAACACATGTGATCTCTAAACACATGTTGTCTCTAAACACAGGTGGTCGTAATCGAAACACATGTGGTCTCTAAACACATGTGATCTCTAATCACATGTGATCTCTAATCACAGGTGTTATCTAAACACATGTGGTCTCTAAACACATGTGCTCTCTAAACACATGTGCTCTCTAATCACAGGTGTTATCTTAACACATGTGATCTCTAAACTTGTGTGGTCTCTAAACACATGTGGTCTCTAAACACATGTGCTCTCTAAACACATGTGCTCTCTAATCACAGGTGTTATCTTAACACATGTGATCTCTAAACTCGTGTGGTCTCTGAACACATGTGGTCTCTAAACACAGGTGGTCTCTAATCACAGGTGTTATCGAAACACATGTGGTCTCTTAACACAGGTGTTCTATAATCAAAGGTGTTATCTAAACACATGTGGTCTCTTAACACAGGTGTTCTATAAACACAGGTGGTCTCTTAAGACGGGTGTTCTATAAACACAGGTGGTCTCTCAATTAATAATTTGTCTATAGTGATAGCTATCACTAATGTGAAGTACCTTAAATGTCAAAACTATGTACTTACATGCCCCCATCTAGGTGGGGGTTGATGTCCCTGAATTTACTCAGGCCAAGCGGGAAGATGTTAGAGTTGGAGATATAGGCAAGAGCTAGTTCATCCTGACAGTGGGAATCCTTGGCTGTGGCCTCACTGATTACTATGACAAACACCTAAACATAACAAGTCTCAAGTGTTAAACACCTACACAACACAAGTCACCAGTGTAAAACACCTACACAACAAAAGTCACCAGTGTAAAACACCTACACAACACAAGTCACCAGTGTAAAACACCTACACAACACAAGTCTCAAGTGTAAAACACCTACACAACACAAGTCACCAGTGTAAAAC